CAGAACACAATTTGGAAGAGGTGGGGGACATTTATCTTGCATTGGCTGCTAATTGTTTGATCTTATAAATGTTATTTAACCTGGACACATTTATCCCATGTCATAGGGATAATGAAACCTTCCTCCCCAAAGCAAATGGCTGTTTTCAAGATCTGTGAGGTCTTATGTAGCTTTAAGATCTATGACCCAATGTGACAGCTTTACCACTTCGCATTTTCATTGGTAAAAACATGAATGCTTCTTTTAACAAAAACAACAATGGGTAACATTTTTCTAAGCACTTTGCATGTGTTGCCCACTCAGTCCTCACACCAACCCTGTAAAATAGATGTAATTGATCTTTCCGTTGTACAGATGAGAAATCTGAGGCTAATTTACCAAAGTTACACGGCTAACAAGTGGTAAAGGTAGAATTCAAACCAAGAAAAATCTAACTCTATAACCCACTTACTATAATAAGTAATCAATATGCAAAGATATTATAGTTACTCCATTTTATCTAAGCTGACAGAGCCTTTAAAATTAAATTTAATACAATCTCATGTCTAATCAGAACATAGAATACAAAATGAGATCTACATTATGTCTTAAAATTCTTATTTTGTTCGATCAAGAGATGGATGGTTTTAATTTGTTCATATAAATCTGGCCTTTGAGAATATAGCAATTAAAATAACTGCTGCTACCAGGCAGGCACCAGCCAATCTGAATAGTCATCTTCACATTTCCTATGCTTGATGCCTCTCTAGAAGTAGAAGTAAAATTTGCCTTCCTTGTTGTTGTTTAAAAAAAAAAAAAATACAACACTTATAGTCTCTTCTATAAAAGACATAGCATTAGTTCAGATTTGCTTCAAATTCCCTATTTGCATAAATCACCTTTTATATGTATTAATAATAGAGTTCTGTGTTCAAACTGGAATCTACAGTCCACTGAAAGGAAAATGGATGAATGCACTAAATACTTTTTTTTCTAATATTAGTGATTTTTCCGTAACTTTCCATTTCCTAAAACTTCAGTCCACTATTTTTTGGCAATCCTTTGTTGTTTTTTAACCTGGGCTGAGATTTTATGTTCTATAACTAGTTTGACCTTCCCCTATTGCAGAGTTAACTTCAGCCATATATTTACACTTCACGTTTTCTAGAGCTATTTTTACTTTGTGTCAGCCAGTCTTGCTTCGGTTAGTTGAGAGGCTATGACTGGGATAAAAGGATGTGGTGATGTTGGCTGATAGGGGGGAAAGATTGAGAGACAACAGCAAACCCTGCTTACTCCGCAATTCAGCCTAGACTTAGCAAGGACTCAAATGGCTTTGTATGGTAAACTTGGTTACTAATTGATAAAGGTAGATCACTTACGCTAATTGTATCAAGATGGTTTTAAAGAAGGAAGCAGTCTTTTAAAGCACATTCAAATGGAACTTCTCTGGGAATTCTAACAAACTGTGTGGTATTCTTTGACTAGTCACGTAACTCCTTTCATTAGAAGGCAAAGGCAATGCTTCCCTTAGAGAGTTGCTGCAAAGATCAAATGAGGAACAAAGTATGTGCCTATTCACCTAGGGAAATGATATGACTTCAGGATAGCTGGGGATTTGGCACTGACATTCTGCCTTTGGATTGTATCCTGTCTCTGTTTAACTCCACCACATTAGCTCCTCCTCCCAACACTTCGCTCATGTAGATTCAAATAAAGAAAAGCGACAGCTTGGTTCTCTCTGACTTCTTTCCCAGGAGAACAACCATCTTACTATTCATCAGGATCTATATTTGGATAAAGGGCTGGAGCTGAAGTTACAGAGGGAAAATGCAAAACAGACTGCAAAATAGGGCTGCTCAGAGTTGCACAAACAACTCGGATGAAGCAAGCCTGCAAACGTTAAATAAAAAAAACACCAAAAATTGGCCACATACATTTGCTTTGTTCTTTTCAACCCTGACAGAGTACCGTGTTTTCCGGCGTGTAAGACGACTTTTGAAACGAAAAAAAGTCAACCGAAAATCGGGGGGGAAAGAACAAAATTGCACAAAAATTACCTGCAGATACTGGAAGCAAAGTAAGTCTTTTCTTTGAAGAGGGGGGTAGTCTTATACAGCGAATATAGGCTTAAACCTATGTTTTAACTGTAAAAATTAGGTGGTCGTCTTATACGCCGGAAAATACGAATGTTCAGCAGTGAGGGTATGTGTTTCATTTTCCAAGGCCTTTAGAAACAGGGAGTGATTAATATGTTTAAACAGGTCTCACTAAAGAGGGTATTTTGTTCATTTGATGTCACTAAAAAGGCTATTGAGCAAGGGAGTTTCAATGATAGGGTGAGTACAAGGGCTTCTGCTCTAGTTTTAAGTAGTAAAACTTATAGAACTTAACTTCTATTCAGTTGAAATTGGGTTCTCATAAATCATAACAATGATACAACTGGAAAAATTAACAGGAAAATGAGACTGTTTCCTTCTCATACGTAACAAATAGTGAGATACATACACATATACTATTAGCTTCTTTCACTTTTGGAATATATGAAAAGCTGAACAAGGTAAACAAGTCAGTTAATGATTACTTCATTTATTCGAAGTGTCATTTATCTTTTATTTTTTTATATATATTTTATTGATTTTATACAGAGAGGAAGGGAGAGAGATAGAGAGTTAGAAACATCGATGAGAGAGAGTCATCGATCAGCTGCCTCTTGCACACCCCCTACTGGGGATATGCCCTCAACCAAGGTACATGCCCTTGACCGGAATCGAACCTGGGACCCTTCAGTCCCCAAGCCGACGCTCTATCCATTAAGCCAAACCGGTCCCGGCGAAGTGTCATTTATCTTTTAAAAGATACATTTTTGCAAAACTTTTAAGAAGCACACTTCTCAGAGTATTTTTAGTGACCAAGTTAAAATTGTGCATGTGGAGACACATTTATTTCCCCCAAATCTCTAAGAATATTTACTATATAAATTAAATGCTATTTTGCTTAGGAAAAAGCTCTATGAAAATATCTTGCTAGCTCTTGTAAAATGCTGAATTCAGAACTGGAAGTTCAAATTCTCGAAATACAAATAGACATAGGCACAAATCCTCATTATTCCATGGAACTAATGTCACTGAATATGACCAGAAAGACAAAGTCGCATTGTCCTTACTATTTTAAATCACATAAAATGAAAGACTCAAATGAGTTACATTGGCATTTCTTCAGTGATGATGTGGTCTCCTCACTGATTACTTACATGCAGTTTTCACTATTTTATATACGAGGCAAACATAGGCGATTTTCAATTATTAACACTAAAGTCTGCCAGAATCACTTTGCATTAATGAATCTCAAAATATTTTACCATTTCAGTGAGTCTAACTGCATGTTGTTGGGATGGTGTCAAGTATAGTCTGATTTAGTAGGCAGCTTACTGTTGGTAACAGAGACAAATGGTAAAATCAGAATTGAAATGCAGTACTTCTGACTAATGCATCTATCACTATGATCCATTATTTCAATCAGCCGGTCTCTAATAAAATCGATATCACTTAAGGTCTCTATATCATATTCCCAGAGAACAATTTAGAAGTATTGGTGGAAAAAAGAATAAAAGAAGTTAAAGCAAAAAGTATGACTCCTGCTACTGTCATGAATGTTATGAACAGAAAATCTGACAGAGAGCTCCTCCTCTCCCACCTCCAATTCTCTACAAAGAAAATTGCAGAATGTGGCCACAAGCTTTAGTTAGTAAGACATGTGCAAGAAACAAATGACGCCTCGCAAAGGAAATTACCTAGTGATATATATAAGAACAATGGCATTGAATCCTTCCTGGTTCAGCCCCATCTACTTGACGAGGCTAATACACTTGCATGAAATGGATTGGCTTCCATGTAAAGGCTAATCAAATTAAATAGAAATGAGCTCCTGAGAAAATTAAATCAATGAACTACAAAAAAACTTACTGATTTTCCACTGACAGTTGTAGATGTCACCAGCATTAGCACATTGCATACTATGTAGGCATGACCAAGGTATGGCAATGGCAATGCAATGGCAATGGTAATGGCAGTGGGGCAGAGTAAACCTAATAACCTTACCAAACATTCATTTCCTCTCTCTTTTCCCTCCTAACCCCCATGAACCTCTCTACCTCTCTCTCTCTCTCTCTCTCTCTCTCTCTCTCTCTCTCTCTCTCTCTCTCTTTCTCTCTCTCTGTGTGTGTGTGTGTGTGTGTGTGTATGATTATACCTCACATTACCCTATGTATTCTACAAAAACACTTTATAACAACTTACTTTTTACCAATGTTACTATTCCTTTGAATAATAACTGCTAGATTTTCAATGAGCCTTTAAACAAGAATTTAAGGACAATCTTTTAAAGTACAAGTAACACAGATGCAATGCTTTCGATTTTTGAATGGGTGACACAGACCCAATTTCAGGATAGCTATGAATTCCAAGAGCATTTCCTGACATCAGAAGTGAACTACGTGGCTACTAAACAGCAGGACAGTTTTCTTTCCCAAGGGTATGAGCCTATCTTTATGAATAAAAGGCCATGGCCTTGTCCGTGCTGGATGATCCTATAATAATGTGGCCTTCTGTAGTTTGGGCCAATGAAACTGGTGTGTCACCTGTTGTTGAGTGCCACTTGCATGATGGACTTTCTTGGTTATCATGCCTAGAAGTAGACCATTCTTGACCTACTTGGAAAGTATTTATATCAAGTAGAGTGATGAAAGAGATACCTTCCAATCAGTTTCTTACACCTTTTTGTTACTGTCATTATGCAGAATAGATTCCTCCAAGAAAATATTTTTTCTGGTAAAATAAAAAAGAACCTTTTAAATGGAAAAGAAATCTGATCAAGCAAAAAAGAGAAGGTATGCTTCCAATTTTCTATCATTTCTAGAAGTTCTTTAGCTTAGCCAGATTAAACCAATGATGGGGGAATATTTGTAAATCAATGCTTTATTTTTTGCCAGAGAAAGTATTCATCGTAAAAGTTATGCTCACATTTGCATTCTTTGCAGCACTTGCCATCCACGTACGCAAGAGCCGACTTCAGTGGGCAGTCAGGATTCGGGCAGGTCAGAGTTTCACACTGGGTGGTTCCATTCTGAGCAGAAAAGAATATTTAGGGAATTTCCAATTGCAATTTGGTAGTCGTCAATTATTTTTAAATCTGTTTCTTAAATTTCAAACTCTTCCCATAAAATTTCATAAATCCCACTCTTCCCTTTGGTTATTAAACAGTAAAGCCCATAACACAGAGACCCAGTGTGGTATTAATTGGGTCATAACACACTTGGCGATTGGCTCCCATCTTCTGTCCAACAGCTGATCCTCGCTGAGCCAGAGCTCTCACCTTGTGTAGCCAGGTGGATGAGGACATGGGTGGAGGGAAAGACACTCATTGATCAGGAAATAGCAGGCTAAGGGTAAGCCTCGGACACTCATGACTCCCTGGATTACTCACAAATGAACATCAGCAAACCAGGAGAATAACTCACTGCTATCCTGAAGACCTAGCCTCAGGACTCAGAATCCTCCCATGGTATTTAAGACAGCAGAGATTATCACATGATGTGGTACCCACAATCACCACAAGAGGTGCCAAACTATAATCAGAAGGGCAAGGAATTTGATTCCTGGAAGTGATCCAGGACCTCAGGTTGCTAGCTGTTTTTCTAGTCATTTTATTAACCTTACTATACCACATCCGTGTTTTGTTTTTGACCCCAATTAACAAATTGGAAAGGCTTTTCTGTATTTGCAAAGTGCTATAACTTTAGTAGGAGCATAATATGTCCCTGAAGAGAAGTCACATAACACACACATGAGTGAGCTACTTTGACTTTTTTACATGCAGCATATTCTGCTTTTGAATAAACTTGGTGAACTTGGGGGACATTTTTTTTTACAAGACTAATTCATGTATACCTTTGATTGCTTTCCAGCTAACTAGGTTCAACAGATGAACTCTTGTGGAATTTGAAAGTTCAAAACCAAACTAGTTCTGAACTTAAACATATATTTTTTAAATAAGAATGCACCACTTATTCTACTTTATAATTGAGCAATTAGAGAAATCATATACTTAAAACTCTATAATTTGTATTCCACTATATTAGAAAACTTTTAAAGGTTATCTTAATTGAACTCCACCCTTTGTTTATATGGACCAATCTGGTCACAATATCTCATGCTGCGTTCAATTCAGTTTTATTAAAATACATTAATAAACACCTGAGGGGAAATTCCTGGAAATGTTATGGATCACAGGATATAATCCTTTGAGACTCACCTTACTAAACCAATTTAAATTGCTAAATTCATGTGAGTACCAATAAATTTAAATTTTATAGCATTCCACAACCATAATAATCTTTATAGGCTAGGAAGTATCTTTAATAATGTAGTACACGGTTCTTCAGATTTGACTGGGTTTGCTGGCACTTCAGTGTGGAGTCTTTCTTAAGGAAAAAGGTCTTAAAATTTTCATAATTACATTATTTTAATCCATTTTTAAAGAATGAGGGCATTCGAGCATCCTTCATCTAAAATCTAGTTAAGACGAAACCGGTTTGGCTCAGTGGATAGAGCATCAGTCTGTGGACTGAAGGGTCCCAGGTTCGATTCCAGTCAAGGGCAAGTACAATGGTTGTGGGCTCATCCCAGTGGGGGTGGACAGGAGGCAGCTGATTGATATTTCTCTCTCATCGATGTTTCTAGCTTTCTATCCCTCTCCCTTCCTCTCTGTAAAAAAAAAAAAAAAAAAAAATCAATAAAATATATATTTTTTTAATTTAAAAAAATAAAATCTAGTTGAAAGCCATACCAAGCATGTGCAGTTCTTACAGCCGTCTGTCCATGACTCGAATTCCCGGTAGGTGGTTCCCTTCATGGTACAAGTCCTTTCACAATAGCACTGATCCAACCGGTTCATTCGCTGCTCCGCCCGAGACAACTGTGGCAAAGGAAGGGGTTTGTGTTGTTCACCATTCCAGCAAAGTAATCTAGCGGGTATCTGATTTTTTTTTTTTTAGAATACAGCAGTAATGATGGCTATGTCTATTCACTATGTTATAAATATATGCAAGCCTTTGATTCAAAGCAAAGGATTTTCCCCCTTATTTTTATAAATTTTTTTCTTGCCTGTGAAAAAGTAGCATAATTTAACAGATATAAATGAAGGCTAAGTCAAAATAGCATTACCCACAATGCAGAGAAGCACTTTCGATTTTTAAAAACGTTTAATTTTATAAACATGTCAACTCAAGTGAGATCATAAGTTTTGGAATTTATATTGTGTCTGAAACACATCATCCATATACAACATAATTTTCCATCATTAGTAAGTTCTATGCAAAATGACAATTGCCTGATGAAATTGTAGGCAAACTTGAGACAGGCTTTAAACAGTGAATTATCCTACAGCTGCAGCTCAGTGTACAAAGCATTGGTGGGACCACTTTCTTGGCATAACCTGTGTCCACATTTTTTGCAATATCCTCTCATCTCCTTCTTTTTAAAGGAAAACTCAGTAAATGAACACTAAATCCTGTTGCAATAAAGAGTGTAAAAATAGGCAACATGCCTCAATCCTGACTTACTGAATCATTTGTTATGCAGATGGCCAGTGCTGAATACTTATTAGGATCAGCCCTTTCCTTAGACAGAGATTTTTTTTTAAATATATTTTTATTGATTTTTCATAGAAAGGAAGAGAGAGGGATAGAGAGTTAGAAACATCGATGAGAGAGAATCATCGATCAGCTGCCTCTTGCACACCCCCTACTGGGATGTACCCGCAACCAAGGTACATGCCCTTGACCGGAATCGAACCCGAGACCTTTCAGTCCGCAGGCCGATGCTCTATCCACTGAGCCAAACCGGTCCTGGATAGACAGAGATTTTGATTTGATTTAACCCCAGCAAAGAATATAGCATAAGAAGAATCTCAAAAGTGGACACCTGTGCTTATTTAAAAAAAAAAAAAATGTAAGGAACCTCCCCCCTCCCCCACTGTATTTCTAAGTAGCTTTTTACCTTGGCTGATGTTTTGGCCAAAATGTCCTGCAGCTCCATGATTTTCTGCACAAGTCCATGGAAGTCATTGCAAGTTGGACAAGCTGAAATTGCAAACACTACATTGGTCAAGTTGTATTTAAAAGGGATTCAATATGATTAAGCCTATGCTGACAATATATATATATATGGAAACTCCAATTTTAAACTGACAACCTGGACAAAATTAAGCAAGAAGCACACCCTTTATCACATAGTGCAAAATCTAATGAACTTACTGCGATTAAGATCTGGGCATTGAGCAATAAATCCTTGGGGCATGACAAGTAATTGGACATCTTGCATTATACCCTGTGTGTGAAAAATTAAATAAGAAAACATTACTTTCATCTATTCAAATTATGTTCAACACTCAAGCTCATGAAGGAAAACATTATAGGATAGAGTCATCAAAATCCCTGAGTAAAATCTTTTTTAATATATTGTCTTGACTTCAAACCAAAGGGAAAGAAATACACAAGGATAAATAGATGATTACCCGTGGACTTTCTTATTGATAACATTTTTTAAACCTTAAGATCAACTGTCAAAATATAATTAAGAGGTGATGTTTTGAGAAGTTATCTGGAGTAAGCCACTGAAGGAAGGCTTGAAAATGACCTTTAAAAATCAACCTAAAAATCACTTCTGGTTTCAACAACAGTGAAACTGATGCCAATAATCAAAAGAAAAGAATAGAAAAACTAGTTATGAAAGCAATGCTCATTTGAGCATTTCTCATTTTTCAGTGCAATTTTTTGAAACGAACTTCTCAACTCAAAAGAGGGCAATAGATGAATTAAACAGCTATGCAAGACTCAGTGACAAGTCCTTATGCATACAGAAAGTATTGCATGAATTTGTTTTAAATGATGGCTGGAAATAACACATTTTACACAAAAGAAAGGAGCTATTACATGTTTGTAGGCAAAATTTACATGCATCCTTAGTCATTAAGGTATAATTAGCTTCCAACTTTTGGACTCTTAAGGCAAAGATCAAATGGCAGTTCAGGAATGACCTCATCAGAAACACTCCAGCTGTCCCTTTCACCCACCGCCCTCCTCTCTCCCTGCACCAGTTTTAAATATTTTCTCTAATATTTCACTTTATCTCTTTGGAAAATGCAAACAGAATGTCTAATGACAGGAATGATAGTACTAACATATTCTCAAGACTATTTGAACAAAGATTTACCAAATATCTCCTAAGTGTTTAATCTGATTAATAGTGTGGTGCAAAAAAGAATGCCAATGTGAATGATAAATATTTTAATGTACTGTGGCAATGGCTGGATCTGTTGTCTGTTTGGGTTTAGATTAAGGAGGAAATTTATATACAAACTCCTATCACTTGGAGGAGGCAACATCAGAACGAAGTCAATGTGTGCATGCGTGCTGCACAATTCTATCGATAGTAGGCATCATTCAGAATCTGCAATAAAAAGAAGGATCCCTAGAGTAGTCACATAATCAATGTCTGAGAAGGATCCTGGGGCCACATCTGGGCTCCACAGGAAAAGACTGTTATGATTAAACAGAGAAGAGACTTGGCACTAGCAGCACACATTTGCAATCCCTTTACAGAGGAAAACAGCATTGAATTTTCAGGATTTGCAAAAATGGGACCAATTCCCCATGACTAACTTCGGAGAAGCTACTTAAGCTCTATGAGCAGGCTTATGCATATGTAAAAGAGGACAAAAAGACCATGCATCAAAGCCAGCATGCCTAGCATAGATGAAATAACATATTCAAAGCACCTCGTTCCCCGTAACAGACAATGTTTAACTTTTATAGACACCTCTTAGGATTATAAACCTTGCTTAGAATACATTTTTAAAGTTATTGGTACATACTCTACCTAAAAATACACGAGTTGGACACACACCACTATCATTCTTTTGTTTAACCACCATTTATCATTCTTTTATTTAACCACCATTTATTTGCCACTTCTATATCATAATCATGGCTGGGGGGTGGGGGATGATTACACTTATGGGTTTACAGTCAAAAATATTCTGGACTTTTTTTCTACATCCTTTAAATACAGAAAATTAAATAGCATGTCTTTTAGACCCTCTACAATGTGAGATTCTACAGACTGTGTGTCTAAGTGGACACTAACGAGAAAGTTATGGCTACATTCTACTCTGGATAGATTTGTGCACATAAATATATATATATATATATATATATATATATATATATATATATATATTCCTTTCTCACTTTCTGGTGTATAAGGAGCCCATGAATAATGAATATTAAAAAGCTTTCAATCTTTTATTAATAACATCCCTGTGGAAGTATCAACGAAAGTTATGTTTCAGTGGGGGAAATTTATTTGTATACTACTATTTTAGGCTTTTATTACTTTGAACACTTAATTTCAAGAATGTTGTATTAACTGCCCCGATTTCAGTCTTGTAATCTTCTATATAATGTCTAAAGATCAAAATCATTAGGGACAAAAAGAGAAAGTAGTATTCATCAGCTAAATATTATGCTAGCAAAAAGAAAAGAAGAAATAAAACACAAATAGAAAAATCTACACAAAATTATTTTTGTTTCTCACCATTAAAAGCAAAATGAACTTTTCTAAACTCATGAAAAAGCATTTATATTTTCACTTTACTAGAGGCCTGGTACACAAAATTTGCGCACAGCGGGGGCAGAGGGGTGAGTCCATCAGCCCGGCCTGCACCCTCTCGCAATCCAGGATCCCTCGGGGGATATCCTACTGCCAGTTTAGGCCCAATCCCTGTAGCAGTCAGACATCCCCCAGTCAAATATCCCTCTCACAATCCAGAACCACTGGCTCCTAACCACTCACCTGCCTGCCTGACTGATCACCCCTAACCACTCTGCCTGCTTACCTCATTGCCCCTAACCATTTGCCTGACTGCATGATCACCCCTAACCACCTTTGCTTCAGCCCCCACCACCCTGGCTTCATCTGGAATGATGTCTGGAATGACGTCCAGAAGGTTTCTGTCTGGTCTAATTAGCATATTATGTTTTTATTATTATAAATGATCAGACTTTAGTCAAAGGATACCTTAAAATATCCATGTGCATTATTTCTCTGTCCCAGCCAAAATGTTGTGCCTACAGGCAAGTCTGTGGAGGGCTTTTCCACCACTCTTTCATATATTCTGGAGGGGGGAAAAATCAGATGTAAGTTAGCAGTCATTTCTTATCATATTCCATTTCCTAAACTGAGAACATTTTACTTACTTATTGCAGTCAATGTGTAGAGTCAGATGGGAGGCACTGATGGCTAAGGAGAGCTTGTGCCACTTGTCATCAGCCAAAATGTAAGGGAACACTTCCGTGTGAGGGCGGTGACTGCCTGAGCGGTAGTGCAATCTGACTTCATTCCGATGGCCACTGCTTTCCAGTTCCAGGTACCTGCATGGAGAAGAGCCGTATGGAGCCCACTGAAAGTTAAGTTCAAATGTGACTCACATGATTCCTGCTTCCAGAAAGATGGAGTAGATATGCTTTCCCTATCCCTTCCACTATGTACACCACACATTACATTATAAAACAAACGTAAGAAGAGTCTGAAAGATGAAGGTGAGAAAACTGTGAGGGACCTCAGAACCTGAGGAACCAAACAATGGTGAGTTTCCTAGGTTTTCATTTTGCCTCATGTATACAGATTTGGAACTGAAGAAGCCAGCAACCTGAAAATACCCACAGATGCAGAATAAAGAAAGAAAAGAATGGAAGGAAGAAAGGAAGGAAGGAAGGAAGGAAGGAAGGAAGGAAGGAAGGAAGGAAGGAAGGAAGGAAGGAAGGAAGGAAGGAAGGAAGGAAGGAAGGAGAAGGAAGGAAGGAAGGAAGTAAAGAAGGAAGGAAGGAAGTAAAGAAGGAAGGAAGGAAGTAAAGAAGGAAGGAAGGAAGGAAGGAAGGAAGGAAGGAAGGAAGGAAGGAAGGAAGGAAGGAAGGAAGGAAGAGAAGGAAGGAGGGAAGAAGAGAGGGAGGGAGGGAGGAAGAGAGGGAGGGAGGGAGGGAGGGAGGGAGAGAGGGAGGGAGGGAGGGAGGGAGGGAGGAAGAAGTACAAGAAAATGCCTGCTCTCTCTAACAAAACTACCAGAAAATATGAAGACTAGCAAGACAAAAGCTTTTAGAGAATAATCACTCTATTCTAGTCAAACACCAAAGAAAAAAAAAACCATAGTCATGTCCTCAACCCTGCCAGCAAAGGTTTAGTGGGGACATTAGGTTTCCATCTTCTTAAGGCAAAAATGATGGGCCCAACACTTCCAGTAGGGTGGTGAGAGAGAAGAATAAGTAGAGAACCAAGACTTTTAACCCAGCTGGCTAGTCACAAGCTTCCCTCGGCATCAGTGGAGACCACATCAGCAGGAGCTTGGTCTCCCACTCTAATCTGGTGGTAACAAAGCACACTGCCCACTCCCAGCTGTGATGGTGTCAGCAAAGCTTAGTAGAGAGTCAGACGTTTCAACTGCACAGCAGGAATAAGACCCTCACTTCCACAGTGTCAGTGGAGACCACGTGGGGAGTTGGAAATGTCACTCCCACCCAGAAATATTAGAAGCTCCCATCAATTCTAAACAGAAGGCCAAATGGGAACGTGGACTTCTATCTCCACCCGTAAGTAACAAGAAGGCACTCTCCCATCCTCTGACAGAGCAGTGTCAGTGAAATCTAGCTAAAACAAGGAGTTTAAATAAGATCCAAGTCTCAGAACATGATAGAAAAATGAGCAGGTTTAAATTGTAAATCATATACCATACCAAGAACAAAAAGATGTCAAAGTAATGACAAAGAGACTATCAATAGATATTAACAGCAAGATGACAGAGATGTTAAATTACCTGACAAACATTTTAAAGAACCACTGATAAAAAGCATTAACAGCCTGTCAGTGTTGCTCAGTTGAACACTGACCCATGCACCAAAGAAGTCCTCGTTTGGGTTCCCGGACAGGGCACATGCCTGAGCTGTGACCTCGATCCCCATCAGGAGGCATTCAGGAGGCATTCAGGAGGCAGCCTATCAATGTTTCTATCTTTCTCTCCCTTCTCCATTTCCCTTCCTCTCTCTATCCAAAAATTAATTTTTAAAAATATATTTTTAAAGCAATAACATCCCTAGCTGATTTGGTTCTATGGATGGAGTATCAGCCTACAAAATGGGTGAGAGGCAGGCGTGGGGGGAGGAGGTTGTTTGCTGGGTTCAATTCTGGTTGGGGGCGCATGCCCAGGTTGCAGGCTTGCCACAGTATGGGGTGTGTGGGAGGCAGCTGATTAGTGATTCTCATCATTGTTTTACTTCTCTCTCCCTATTCCTCTCTGAAATCAATAAAAATATTCTTTAAAAAAGCAACAAATATATTTGGACACACTTGAAACAACAACAAGGAAAAAACTCAAAGCCACAGCAAAAAAAGAGAACCAAATAAATAATGAATAAAAATTTTAAAATTAAAAAAAATATATGATAACAAAAATAAAAAAATAAAAACTCAAAAAAGAAGCTAACCAGTAGAATGGGGGCACCGAGAAAAGATCCGTTGACTGAAAGATAAAAATTCCTCAATCTTAACAATAGAAAGAAAATAGATTGGGGGGGAGGGGAATAAAGAAATCTCAGAGACCTGTGAGACTATAACAAAAGATCTAAGATTTATGTCATTGGAGTCTATAAAAGAAGAGCAAGGGTGGACTGAAAAACTACTTGACTAAACAATGACTGAAAACTTCTCAAGTTGGGCAAAAGACATAAATTCACATATTCAAGAATATAAGCAAACCCCAAACAAAATCAATTTTTAAAAACACTCATCATAATTAAATTTCTAAAAACAAATACAAAATGTTAAAAGCAGACAGAAAAAAAAATCAATACACTGTATAGAGTGGAAAAGAAATTAGAATGATAGTGGACTTAAGAAAGTGGCACATAGTTTTTATGTAATGAAAGAAAAAACTGTCAGCCAAGAATCCTACATCCAGCAAAAATGAAGAAGAAATCAATACATCTTGAAATGAAGAAAAAGTAAGATACTTTGAATCAAGTTTTAAACTTAGATTGTTATGTTTAAGGAACCTCATGAACACTCAAGAGGACATGTAGAACTCTAAGTTTGTAGCTCTTAATCCCCTTCACCTTTCTACCCCCTTCACTGCCCAATCCTCTAGCAACAAAGTTCTATTTCTATATCTATGAGTCTGTTTTGTTTGTTCATTAATTTAGTTTATTTTAAATTACACATAAAAGTGAAATGATATAATATTTGTCTTTCTCTGATTTATTTCACTTCCCACAATACCCTCTAGGTCTATCTATGTTGTCAGGGAATTAAGAATTACAAACGTATAGAGTTATAAATAAGTCATAGGGATGTAAAGTACAGCATAGAAAATATAGTCGATGATATTGCAATGACTTTGTACAATGACAGATGGTTACTGGACTTCTTGTGGTGATCACTTTGTAAGGCATACAAATGTCAAATCACTATGTTGTACTCCTGAAACCAATATAATGTATGTTAACTATACTTTAATTAAAAAGAGCTTTATATTCCAGAATGAAAAAAAAGAGGGTATGTCTAAGGTGGAAACAGGTCCATAATAGAGATATAAATTTGGAGAGTTATAGGCATACAGATTCTATTGAAAGCCATCAAGGAATAGGGAATACCTTGGAAATTATTATAAATGAAAGGACACTTTAACATTTTGAGGAGAAACCAGCAAAAACAAGCAAAAAACAAACAAACAAACAAACAAAAAAACAGTAAGTGTAGCTAATGAAATTGGAGGAGAAAACGTGACCCTGGTGTCCCAAAGGCCTGGGGATGAAGGAGATGCCTCAAGGGAGAGGGAGTAATGAACTGTATCAAATGCTGCTAATAGGTCAAATAAGATAAAGATGGAACCACTGGATTTCACAAAACAGGTTTCTGGTGACCCGAAAGCTATTTCAGAAAATTCTATGGAAAATAAAGCTTTCTTGAAGTAGGCTCCAGAGAGAACGAGCAGAGAGGGGTAAGAGATAATAAGTATGGACACCTCGGGAGGGTAGCTATTGAAAGATACTGTCAAGGTAAGAAATTTAATTGGTAAGAGTTACCGATACACATTGTTTTATTCTGCTGCGACTAACCTGTAGAAGATGGAAATTAGCCATACTTGAAAGAGGTAAGAAATTAGAATAAAATAGAAACCATAAATTAAAACGTTGATTAGTTACATGTCAACTACATAACACTCAAAAAATTCTCAACAGAAAAAATAAAATCAAACAACAAATGACATTCTATGAGACAAGGTTAAATACATGGTAAGTCAGAGGTTAATGAAAATACCTGCAAATCAATAAGAAAAAGCAACTTAATGGAGTTATCGATCAGATAAGCGATAATAAAAAAGTAATAATATCTAGTGTCAATAGCAATGTAGAAAAACAAACACTCTGGTACACTATTTGTGGCAAAATAAATTTACAGGGACTTCTTGAAAGCAGTTTGGTAAAACTATCAATATATTAAATGTGCATACACTTTAAATCATAATTCCAAATCTAAAAATCTATGCAAAATAACAGCACAAATTAGCAATGATGCATGCAGAAGGTTCTGGCTAAAGATTTATTTAAAACACTAAAAACCTGATAAAATGCCAACTATTCATTCAGAGTAATTATGATAAATTCATATTCTAAAACACTATGTCACTCCGTAAAAGAATGACGACGTTCAGAAATGAAATGATGCCATAGTTTACTATTCAGTAAACAACAAAAAATTCTGTAGTATCCCATTTTGTTTGCAAAAACTGTGTGTTTACTGAAGAAAAAAATCAAGGAGAACATATCAAATGTTAAGAATAGTTACCTCAGTGGGGGATACAAATAGGGGTAAAGAATTTGAAGGACCTTTCCCATATTTTTATATCCTTGAATTTTCATAATTATATATTAACTAGAGGCCGGTGCATGGATTCTTGCATGGGTGGTGTCCCTCAGCCTAGCCTGCACCCTCTTGTAATCTGGGACCCCTCCAGAGATGTCTGACTGCTGGGAATTGGGCTGGAACTGGCAGTCCAATATCCCCCTAGGGATGTAGCAGTGCTGAAGTGGCAGGCAGCTGGGGAGGAGCCCCAGCCGGGATGGGGTGCCCCACCACTCGCATTCATTCTGGCCCTGCTACACCTGCTGCTGCTACTAGGTAGCCCTGTGGGAACATACTGACCACTAGGGGACAGCTCCTGTATTGAACATCTGCCCCCTGGTGGTCAGTGCATGTCATAGCGACCAGTCCTTCCAGTTATTTTGGTCATTCTGGTCTTTCCAGGCAATGGGTTGCAAGGGTCACTTAGGCTTTTATATATATAGAGATTTTTAATGTAATATTCTAAGACCCTAAGATTCAA